TCAAATTTCAGACACCTGCAATTCTCCAGGTTTGTTTGTGAACAAGCGCAAAACGCTTCTTTTGGTCGAGCGGAAACGCGGCAACCAACTACTTGGATGATGGACAGGACAATCCGATAACCTAGACCTGGTAATGACTGATGGCCACGATGAGGGAAGTTCAATAATTATGCCTCATAAAACTTTAGTAACAGGATTCGCGGCCCCTCGGAGGTATCGTCTGTTACTACCCACTCCTCCTCACCTTGCAAATCACCAGGCGAAATTTTAGGACAAAAGTTCATTGGCAGACGCACACCTACGCGCTCGAGCCAACTCATTCTGAATTCAAATATTGATGCTGCTTCCCATGGCTTTGGCGCTCAGATTGGCTGTGCGATGACACATTCGCTTATTCGTAAAATAATTTAGACCGCAGATATTGAGCTGAAACAACTCTGACTGCTTAATTTGCATAGGCAGATCCAAGGAGGCGTAGGGGATGCATGCCCCCCCCCTTTTCGAAAAAAAGGATAAAGAAAAATGAAAGAAACGCTGGCAAAAAAGTATCTTGCAGACGACTCCTTAAAAAATTTGAGAAGAAAAATGCTCTTGATTCAATCGGATTTTTGCTTGCGACGAGATCCAAGCCTCTTAATTGAAGCAGATTTCCTTTTGATATAAGCAAAACTTTGATTCAATTAAGATTATTTTTTCTTGGCAATGTTTTTAAGAATCTCCAGGGGTGTTATTAAGGGAAAGGGGACAACATTGAAAATAAGATCACATTTTGGACGATGCGAATCACTTACAGTGAGTTATTTTTCAGATGATTTCCAGAGGCACCCACTTGTTTATCCTCCTCTTCTCTCCCCTTGAATATAGTTGCAATGACATCTATGCCGTGCTAAGGAAGAACGCCGTATGAACATTCGAGTGTTGCTGAATTTCCCCGGGTAAAAACTGTATTTTTGACGAAATCTATTTATATTTTTCCTCAAAATTTTCAGATGTTTTAGATTCGATTGCGCACATAATAGTGTCAAAAATTCGAAGAAAAATATTTACAATTTCCCCAATAAATTCGTATTTTATCAGAGGAAATTTGGCAACGCCTGGAGGTTCTTATGGCAGTTTTCCTTAGCATGGCAGATCTGTCCTAAGAAGCTCGCCGAGTCTGAAAGACGCAATTAAGGGCTTCGCACATGCTATCCGATCGGGGTTCGGAGATGGTTAGCTCCGTATTATATAGTCGTAGCTTCGACTGTTCCGGGTTCAGTTGCCGAAACAACGCACTGAAAAAAAATCTCGGCGTTTTTACCAAGGTCCGATAGTACCTTCACCATCCCACTTTTTTACCAATTATTGGTATAATTTTACCTAGACAGACTTGTAAGTTTACCTAAAAACCGGTATTTTTACTGTTTTTTCAGGTAAGAATACCACTTTTATTGGTAATCNGGGGTGTTATTAAGGGAAAGGGGACAACATTGAAAATAAGATCACATTTTGGACGATGCGAATCACTTACAGTGAGTTATTTTTCAGATGATTTCCAGAGGCACCCACTTGTTTATCCTCCTCTTCTCTCCCCTTGAATATAGTTGCAATGACATCTATGCCGAGAAAGTTCAATAATTTTACCGAGATTTCTCGGTAAAATTACCAATTCCATAAATGGTAATTTTACCGAGAAAAAACTGGGATCAAATAGAACCCTGAATTCTTGGTAATTTTACCCTTTTCTTAGTAAATACACCGAGATTTTTTTTCAGTGCGGGTTCTGAATAAGTACGGCCTTTGAACCCTGGGCGGGCGGTATGTCCATAATGACAATAGTAATGTCTTTCAGAAACGGAGCTTCTTTTCCAGTGTCCTTGACACTCTCTTCGATTCTGGACCACGATTGTAATCCTTGCATGAGCCTTTTATATGCAAGATTGGTCAGTTACCATCCTTTCCTTTCCTCTCGAGTTATGAGGGAGGGGAGGGGGGGCACTTCAGCACCTTATAAAATCAGCTTTGCCCAAGATGTAATAGTCGGTTCCGAGAGTGTGTGACTCATTGAGTTCCGTCCGATTCATATTCAGATTTTTATTCATACGAATGATAATCGTGTCCAGGAGAGGCCAGCTGTGAATAGAGCTCTCTTCAGTTCACGTAACCTCACTATGCGTGTGAATTTCTGAAGGCTCCCGTTTTCAATGGGGCCCGACGTATTGTTTATTTTCGTTCTTTCTCCTCGCGGTGGCCCTGACTCTTTCTCACAAGCCTCATAACTGGACATAGAGCATCTTACGTAAATTTTGAGCAGAGCTTCAGTCGAACCTCCTGCTTGTAATATACTAATGATATGGACTTTTAAAACGTAAATTTAATTAAGTATTCTAACAATGGACTTTTGAGTTTCTTCACTTCATGACGGCTAACTGCCGAAAGCACCTACCTCGATTGTGGCGTTTCAAAATTTCCGCTCGTATTAATTATTCTTCGAAGAAAAACGACTTATCTTCATTGTTCGTGATTGTAGTAACACATTTTTCTACCAGGGAGGAAAACTTCAGGAAGTTGTTCAACAGATTGCGTTGACCGGTAAAATTATTAGAAGGTAGAGTAAGTCGGAACTTTGCAACGTCTTAAAACGAGACGCAAGATTTTGGAGCTGAACCATTGATTAGTTTGCTCAAACCTTTCTTTATTCGAAGGATTGTACGTAAATTTCTGTATCAAGCTCCTTCTTTCTACAGGGATAAAAGTGAGGTATTTTAATCATCAGACAAAAGCAAAGCGGAGGATAAAATTTACGTTTTTATTTTTAAAAACATTATTTGACACTTAGATGGAAATTAAAGGAAGCTTTCAATATCATCCAAACGGCTAAAACCGTTTGAACAGGTAAAAATCAGTTTGAGATAACCGTGAATGGTTATCTTAAAATGATTTTCACCTGTTTCTGAAAAGTTCGGCCGTGGGCTCATTTTCTTTTAGTTATTAATATATGAATCCTATATTAATATTTACAAACGTTTACTATACACAAGACAATTGTAAACAAATCAGATTCTATGAATTGTAATAATTACGGCATGGCTTGTAGTTATGTTTAAATATCTAAATAGCAGAATGATTCTTATCACATTAATTTTGACTTGTAAAGTAAAGGTCATGAAGCATTGACCTTATATTACTTAAAATAAGGCTTCTAACTTTTACTGCACAAAATAATTTATTTTGATTTTTCTCTGAGGCTGCATGTGCAGTAGAAGTTTGAAATAGAGAGAAAAATAATCTTTAAAAAAATATGAGAAAATTATTCAATAACTTAACTAAATTTGCCGTAAAATGTACAAGTTCAATATTTACAATGAAAAAATTAAGTCTATGATCGCATCTGGCTATTATTCCAAAGAACATACAACATTCTTCAGTCATTAGTTTTTTCAATGAATAATTCGTTTGATGTCTTTTGACTGAGCTATGTATGAATGCTTTCACAATTCCAACTTCAGTCGTAAAAAAATGAGAATTTTAATGGTACGTTTAAAATGGCACTCCTATCCTTCGAATTCAGCCCTCCTCCCCTTCTCCGTGAGTGCACTCATGATCCACACAATGGATGTTGCATCCACTTGCAATGTCACTGCTTCTGATTTTTCTACCCGTGTATACGAATTCTTTCATTTCTAAGAATATCTTTTTTCTCAGTGAAAGACGTAGAGTTTCTATGAAGATACCATGCAGCACACCCACGCTGGATGGCACTGATTATTGTTCTTTAAAAAGGGCGTATTGCACGGAAAAATCATCCCTTGGACAAACATAATTGATTTTTGCCGCTATGAAATCCGCGACTCTCAAAACACAATTCCCTGACACTCAAATTGACCCATGTTTTAAAGAACCTCCCAGAAAAGGTCCTATTTTGCACCTTTTCTGGAAACCCGGGAAATTCATGGACTACCTAAAATAACGCCTTTTTGTTAAAAGCATCTTGTTCAAGTCAGGTTCCGTTAGCTTCAGTTCAATGCTGATTTTGATGACGCAACTTAGATGTCTAATCTGTGCTAATTATGTCATTTTTCTATCACTGATTTGTTTAATCTAGCTTTTAAAAGGCTAAAGTCAAGGGCCTTTCCTCATAACGAGGTTTCAAATCAACCATTCTCCTAAAGTTGACATTCAAAACCGAGCAGATTCCAACAGGCGTTGCTAGGGTTGCTAAATAAGGTTATGCTTGGTGTATCAAATTGTAAAAAAAACTTGAATTCCCTCGAATTTTAGATTTCATTCAGGGGAAATTCCTCTAAATTTTACGATAAGAATTTTTACTCTCAATTAATCTCAATTCGCTTTAAATACAAGAAAAATTTCATCTTAGCAACGCCTGATGTCGTTTACTAGGTTTTTTGTGCAACTCACCAGTTCCTCGAGTTCCACGGCAAAAGGGCAACTTTTTAGGAGCCTCTCTTTGTCAACGTTCTGAAATAAGGGCGTATCTCAATTTCCACGTAAGCCCCGTTTTACATGTGAATCAGTGGCGAGGCGTGCATGATTGATCATCGATATTTCCCCATTTGAAGCTACGGCAAAGAATCGATTATTGAGGTGTTCGTTGCGAACACCCTGTCTATCGATCCTTTTTCGTATGTTTAAATGGCAGATCCATCGATATATCGCAAAGCACGCCACGCCTCTGTTGTGAATCCATGCTTTCTGGGGCTCATGCGAAAAGCGAGATACGTCTTCATACACGGAGAAAAAAACTTCGTGCATGGGACCCGAAGTTGAGGTCATGAATGGATCTCTGAAGTTTTCTGATCACGCATCCAAAAACTTGAGGTCGAGCTGCTGAAGTTCGGGTCAGACATCGAGGCACTTCGGTATGTACCGGAGTACTTCAGATATGTGACCAGAACCCTTCGGTATATATCGAAGTACTTCAGATGCCTGACCCGAACTTTGGCGGCTGGACCTCAAGTTTTTAGATACGCGATCCGAAAACTTCAGAGATCCATATGACCTCAACTTTGGGTCCCACGCACGAAGTTTTTTTTCTCCGTATACGTCTACACGTCTTCATACGTCGGAGGAGCGACGTTTTCTCCAAGCCATTGACCTCACCTAGAACCTAGGATCGTACGGTGTGGAGTTGAAGCCAACATACCTATTATTCTTTCGCACCTTAAAACCGCTCCCTGGACTCGTGTTATAGTAGATGACCCTCCGGATGCCGAAGGGATCGATGTAGCCGAAGCTGCCGGCTCGCTGGTAACTGTTGGGGGACTCCTCTTCGTGGTAGTGGCGCGGGAGGTAGTAGCGGAAGCCGTTGTGAGTCATGGCCACGCCGTCGTAGCTCGAGTCGAGGATGGCGTTGTCCAGAGTGTTGTCGTTGTAGGTCTTGGTGTTGAAGTACGGCCGGAATGTGATCGGTTGCACGTAGTCTTGAGACAGCGGCGAGTAGTTCTCTGGCTTCGGGTACGCGTTCGGCGTCACCACCACTTCCGGTTCCTGCTTGCGCTCCCCGAACCTGGAGGGTCGAGGTTCATTGGGTTAGAATTATATGGAGAGAGACAAAGTACATTAAAACAGCAGGGCACACTCTTCACCCCCAGATGTCTCAGGATGACCCACGGTTTCAGTCGATTTAACAAAAAATTTTGTCGATAGAGGCAAGTTGGTTGATATGACCGGAAAAATGTAATGAAAAGTAACCAAAAGTTACCGTAAATAGGACATTTTCAATTGTCTAGGACGATTCCATCGGGGGTTTCGAGAGATCATGAGGGCGCAGATTTCTTTGTCAAAGTTGGTACATGAATTATTCTTCAGTATCATGGCAAGAGAAGTGCGATTGCAAAATTTGAAAAAAATGACAAGTAGCTGAAATTATGGGACGAATTGATGCGATATATCGCATGTCGCTCTGACCCAAAAAATGGCAATCGCCGAATCACCTTCAAGAATTTTTATAAATAAGGTTCTTTACAAGTATACCTGAGGTAGTCCTGGACTTGCTGCTTTCGTTCGTGGAGGTAATCTGAGACAGGGATGGCATTGGGTGACTCTTTGGATTTGAGGTAGTCGGCTAGTGAGATGGGGGTGGAGCTGGGTTCCAGGGTCGTTGGGAAGCGGAGCAAGGCAGAGCTGTCGTAAGATGATTTGTAGACGGGAGGCTGGGGTTTCAGCTGTGCGTTTTCTACTCCCACACCACCTTGGCTTGGCACATATTTCGCTGAAGCCACCGCGTTACCTATCGGTGCTTCCTTACCAACAAAAACCTTTGGACAAAATAAAAATAACAATTATGCATGATATGGTCTGTACATATGCAGGCATGTTGGATAAATGGGTATAATAGCCGATAAAAATTCCAAGGGTCACTCATTTGATAGCTCTATATATTGCCGGATTGTGATACTCTTATTTCCTTTTTTGCCCGATGAGAATTTTTCGGTTGTCAATTTAACGTGCGTTGAGTTGACAACCGAAAAATTCGCATCGGGCGAAAAAGGAAATGTGAATATGATACAACCCGATAAAGAAAAAAGAAACATAATTGCCGGATTACATTTGAAATCGGCAAGAATTTACCATGGATTGCATGAAGTATACCATGTACAGAGTGAGGAGAAGTATTCGATATATTGTGTCCGTATGGGAAGTAGAACATTAATTCATCAATACCAGCGGTTACTATTATTTGGTTAGATTTTGTTTGGGTTACATTGACCAAATCTTCGGTTGGATATTTTGCAATCTCGTTAAAAATCAGGCGGGAACCGCAAGGATTGAACCTAAATTGTATTGGCGATAGTCCAATGAGCCAGCTACTGGAAAGTCACAACGTCCGAGTCACATTCAGAGATACAAAAGTTCTAGTTCAGCAGGACAACTTTTTTCATCCCGCGATATCTCAGAGTAACCTACGATCAACTCGTTTCGATTTTACCAAAAATTTAGATAAATAAACCTAGTTTTCTGGTCAATCTGACCGAAAAAGTAACTCATAATAACCCCTAGGAACCATAAACACGAGATTTAAACTGTGAGGGTAGTAAGCTTGGAAAAAACAAATCCATTCTGTTTTTCTACTCCAGCGTTAAAGTCTCCAAAGAAATTTGCCTTCCGTGTCTGGTTATTGCTATAATAATTTTCCAACTGTTTTTAATGCTGTACAGGTATTGAGCTTGGAGCCCCCTCAGAGCAAGCTTGAACAAGAAAATTCTGTTTTTCTACTCTGTGTTAAAGTCTCCAAGATATTTTCAGGGAAAAATAGGATTCGATGAAAGTTCCTGCTTAGAATGGTGACTAATCAATCAATCAATCAATCAGTATAAATGACAAATTGAGAGGTAAATCCGAGTTGTTTTTTCAGTGAACAAGATAGAAGCATAGAAGAATATATTTAAATGTATACAAGTGGTGTACAAATTAGACAAACCTTTTTGGTTTTGACGATACGATAGCCTTTGTCGTCTGCGATGTAGTCCCGAAGGCGTAGGTAGCCGTCCGGGTCGACCCAGCCGTAGGAGCCGACGACGGTACCGTCCGGGAGCCGCTTCTCCTTGCGGTACTGCCCGCTCATCGTCTGGTACCGGAAGTACCGCTCTGGGCCCTCGTCCGTCTGGATGTGGTACTGCGTCTTCGGGTCCGTGTCCCATCCTCCTTCGATTTTGGCACTGCTGATTTCGATTATCGCCAACTGAAACATACCCAGCAGGTCGAAATAAGCTTATAGAGTTTCAACTTCGAACTCATTAGAGTATTAAAAAAGTGTATCGTTTCAAGATAAAACACTCCCTCCCTTATTTAACACGACGTAATGCAGCTTCAAATCCCTATAATGAGATGCTGATGTTGGCTAACCCTCTTTCTTAATCATTTCTCCGAAAGACAAGGAAAAAGTTCAAATAGGGTCAGATGAAATCCGGCGCATTTTGCTCTGTGGAATAATCTGGAAAAACTGAGGTTTTGAGAAAGATATATAAACGATGATTTAATTCAGTAATATTTTAATTTGTATCCACATTTTTAAGAGAGTTGACAAGGCTACGTATCGCTACGATTCACCCCTTCCCATAGTAACGCGACGTAGTATAGACTCAGAACCCCTCCCCCCCACTTCCTGGATGCGTTATGTAACACAAGGGTATACCCAAATGCCCTGGCTCAAAGCCTAATAAGCGTCAAATACAATGAATAGATTTCAAGTATACGTATTAGGAATTGGGAAGTAAGAGATTTTCCAAAAGGTGATAAATCGCCTTCACTTTGACTTGATACTTCCCACCGACATCCAAGCTGAAATAGTTGTATCTGCTTACATGGGGTTGAGAGGGATGTAAATGATTTCCCTCTGAATGAAACTTACTAAAAATCTCACCGCGTGTCAAAATCGTATTGACCGCAACAATACACCTAATAATTTTGTAAGTTAAACAAGCACCTACATCGACAAAATTGCAACAGTCGGAGATCAAAGCTCACTTTACCAAATCAATCACGGTAATCATGTTTTTCGATCACTAATTCTTGCTTCGGTCAAAAACTCAATACCCAAAGCTCCGAGTTCGAATACGCAATATTATCTCACAGCACGGTTGATTGATGCGTGACGTCACATAAGACTGACACGAAAGATGCAAGCACGATACGGAACTTATTAATAATCGTCCGTGTAATTTTTGAGATTAAGCGGTATCAGAACTGCATAGCGACGGTGAAACTGCAAAAACGCTTATCCCGATTACGAAACCTTAAAGTTAAAATGTACGCTTTCATTTTATTTTATGAAAGGTGATCAAGTCGGCGCTGTTGCTTGAGATTTTCATACAATACTCTTCACGCACGGATGAAAAATCCCTCAACTTTTCAAGAAATAATATGAAATATTTTTCGATTCAGATCATAAAGTATGACAGGAAGTTTGTGATACCGCAAACTGATATACGCGTTTCTGCACTGCCGTGCTAAGGAAGACCGCCGTATTATTAGCCTTTGGACATTGTCGAATTTCCTTTGACAAATCACACATTTTCGGGACTTTATGAATATTTTTCTTCGGATTTTGCAGAGAGCTTTGTTCGTATTTTGATCCTCCTCTTGTACACTTCAAGTATTCCACAGGGCCGGATGAAGGGGGTGGCCACATGGGCCGCGGCCCATGACGGCAAAAGGGGGCGGCATATTTTGCAATTTTTTTAAATGTAGCCATAAAGAAAAATCAGATTCAGACAAAACAATTACGAACGAGAAAAAGTGACCTAATCTCTCATTTCCTGAGAGTATATCTCTAATTTTGTCGTCCTTCTGTGATACAATAGACAGCACCTTTAATTAGCCGAGTTAAGACTTAGAGAGAAACCGAACACGGAATTATGCCTGGAACGGCGCGGCGGCGCAGAGAGCAATGAAGACGAGAACGTGAGATGAAAAGGAGGAACCCTCGGCGCGGCGGTCGGCATGCAACACATATTCGCGCCTACAAGACTGCATAAATACTTCACGCATTGCGCCAGAGATAGTGCGGTCGCTGCGGTCATCAGCGGGCAGCGTGAAACGCATAGCGCCTACAAGACTGCATGAATACTTCACGCATTGCGTCAAACACAAAGCGTGCAGCAGCGGTCGGCCCGAAACGCATAGCGCATGTAAGACTGTAGGAATACCTCACGCATTGCGCCAAATACAGTGCGGTCAGCGCGGCGTGGGGGCGGAAGTTAAAATTATTAAACCACATTTATGTTTGTTCTTTCATAATTTTTTGGTTCATTTCTCATAAATGGAGGGCCTTGTCCATACAGAGATAGGTTTACGAAACTTAACTTTCGCGCCAAGTTTTTTCGCCCGTGAACTTTTGCTAGTAGTGTTGACAGGGCTTTCACAAGAAATGTGACCAACACGAGTAAACGCGTCTTACACGCCTCTCCCCCTGCGGCACGTTTACTTGATGGCTTTTATTGATGTTTAAAAACGAATGAGAAGGGGGCGGCAAAATACAGGCGGCCCATGGGCGGCAAGTAAGTAAACCCGGCCCTGGTATCCCATGAGGGATAATCCTGCGCTTTCCCCGTCCCTAATCAAGCCAGCCCCAGATAACCGTTGTCTAAGACGAAGACAGGAGACCCCTCATTGGTATCCTAGCAATGATGGAAGCTTTTATTTTCGGGACTGAGACATTCATTCAACCGTTAACTTACTTACTAAGTGGACGTTGAGCAACGTGCTGGATATTTCATTTGGCAAACATACCGAAGTTTGGTAAACTAATTCGGCTCATTTCGTCGCCCGAATCTCATCATCCACCGAGTAGGTAAGATGACTGTTGCTCCCTTGCAACTGTCCAAATGGAAAACGTGTTGAATCCCCGAGGGTAAAAGTTTCCACCTGTCGCCAAGAGGCCAATGGAGAATCTCTTGCCTCTGATCTAAAGTGTCAGAAAACTTCAAGGAAAAATGGACCGCCTTAAGCAGAAAGGAACCAAACCACATCAGCTATTGGCAATTTAATTTTTTACATGAAAACGGTTGTGTGGATTTTTGTGCAAGTCTCAGTGAATATTTTGCATAGTTTAAAGAAAATTCCTGGAAAATGTTTAACGGAATCCGCACAAACGTTCTCTTGTATAACATTAAATGGAATTTGCAAGCAAATTTTTTATTGCTTCATCTGAACGTGCTTAAGGAGCTGATTTCAGGGTATTTTTTACAATATTTTTCTGATATGAGAAATAGTATAAAAATAGATTTAAAAGTGAGAAAATGCACCGCCTAGTGACGTCATCTGGCGGCATGGCCCATTTAAACACACGTATTGTAGCAGATTAGATCATTTTGTCACATCTTCTCTGATAATTGTTCAACTTATGAACCAAGGGCATCCTCGTTTTCAGTTGACTCGGTAGTTTCCACTTCAACACAAAAGTCATCAAATTTCAGACACCTGCAAATTCTCTGTTGCCCAATTTTTGATAATAGCTGCACTAGAAAAAAAAAACACATTGGATCTAGAGTGCAGACTCTTGAAAACATTGACAAGAAAAAGGACTCTTGATTCAATCAGATTTAAGCTTAAATCAAAAGGAAATCCGCTTAAATTAAGAGCCTTGGTTCTTGATTTAGGCTTAAATCTGATTGAATCAAGAGTATTTTTTCTCGTCGATGTTTTTAAGAGTCTGGACTCTAGATCCAATGTGTTTTTTTTTCCAATGCTTGGTTCCTTCCTGCTCAACGCGGTTCAAGTATTGAAAACCTCCTTGAAAAAGAAATATTTTTTCAGAGGAAATTTTGCAACATTCGAATGCTCTTACGGCGTTTTTCCATATCGCGGGAGTGGAGTTCCGTCGTCGATATCTGGCAAGGTGGTCCAGTATCGGGAAGCGGGATCTCACGTCATCGGACGGCGATCTAGACCCGTCTAGCTCGTCGGTCGGGTTGTGCAACGAGCTATGAGTAACAGGTCATTAGCCGTCCTGACGTCGCCGTCACCATCGCCTCTTCCCTCTTTTTATCCGCTTTTTAATGACAAGAACGCGGATTCAAGAGCGGGCCCCCGTCGCACACTGGAAAAAAAACACATTGGATCTAGAGTCTAAACTCTTAAAAACATCGACAAGAAAAAATACTCTTGATTCAATCAGATTTAAGCTTCAATCAAGAACCAAGCCACTTAAATTGAGCGGATTTCCGTTTGATTTAAGCTTAAATCTGATTGAATCAAGAGTATTTTTTCTTGTCAATGTTTTCAAGAGTCTGGACTCTAGATCCAATGTGCTTTTTTTCCAGTGCACGGTGGATCGAGTCGATTGGAGAAGTTGGACAAAAGTTGGAAAGTTCAAACGCTTGTAACTCCATTTATATAAAACTTTGGAGTTCTAAAAGTGGTTTCATTGGTTTCCTCGTGAAATTTTCTTCCAGAAACACTCTTTACAATCTAAAATGTGAAGAATTAAACATCAACATTTGCAGTTTGAGTAAAGAAGTTTCATGTCCAACCTCTCTAATTGACTCAATCCACTGTGCGTCGCTTGATGGGCTTCCCGCGGGTGACGCGGCGCCGACGATGCGCACAAAATGAGTCCGCCGTTGTCATTTTTAGGGAGTTCCGCATTTGTCGCTGCTCTACATTCACCGAAGCGCATTCGCTAATTAACTCACTAATTATTTTCGATCGTAAAAACCTGAGCTAAAGTTATCGGTAGACCGGTATACGACAGCTCGGAATAGAATCTCGACGTTTTTATTGCATCTTCGATGATTTGACCGTAAATTGTGTGACACGTTTTGAGAACGGAGAAAGTCAACAGCTCCGTAACAGATGCACTATGAGAGGGAGAGAGAGAAAGAAAGGTCAGCGGGCTGATTGAAATTGATAGACAAAGAAGACGTAGGGAGTATGGAGCAATCCTTTTGGTTGAAATGGGTGGCTCTTATAGACTAAGAGCGTAAATGATGGACTAACTGTAGGGTCTCTAGTGGGTTGCCGTTATTTAGTCTATTACCTACTTCCTATGTCCATTGCAACCACCCGCTTCCACCAATCGGATCCCTCCATATCCCTGTTGTCCCCTTTGTCTATAGCTTTGTCTATTAATTTCAACAGTCGACCCGCAGGTCATAATTCCGTGCGGTCGGATTTTGGGGGGTGTATATTCTAAGGAAGGAGGGGAAAGAAATGGTTTTTTGAGACACGTCTAAGCGAAAA